TATGGATTCAGATGATAGGCCGGGTCCGGCAGATGGGCAACAGAAGTTTAAAGATGAGCCTCAAAGGCACTAACGAATCGGACGTGATGACAACAGTACAGCTACGCGCGAATCTTCTCGACAAAACAGTCTTTGTGCAGAGTGGGATCGAAAACGAAGAAAGCAAGAAAAGGAAGTCAAAAGGGCATCAGAGACGAAAGAAACGCACTGAGAGTGATCGATAGGATAATCCTCATGTCCACGATAGACCGGTTTACCCCGAGCGGCATCTCTCGCGAACACAGCCACATGACGGAGGATGTGGAACGAACCAAACAGTTCGTCTGAAAGTGGTTAACAGTAAAATGAGTTGGACTGAGGTTTATCCCCTAATGGACGCCGATACTAGCATCCTCAAATAGTTTATTGACGACGGGATCAATGCAAATCACAATGAAACGAGGCGCCAGTGTTTCAGTACATGTCGGAACGAGTGAGATAGCCATTGATTTTCCAACAACGCGAACCGTTCGGTGTTTAAAAACAAAGGTTTTCCGCGTCTGAAATGAGAGGAAAAAGAAAAGAAGAATCTGAAGAATGAACAGATTGTTCAATATGGATTTTATTATAAGGCTACTATATTACCATCCAGATAATCACAAGCACAGAATCAATCATTCCACAACCACCTGACAGATTTCCTTGCTAAACAGAAATGCAAATAATTTGACCGTTCGTTTTTCACTTCCCAGGGCCATTGTCTGACTGACTAACTTGCCTGTGGCAAAAGTATTCTAACGGTTTAATTGGGAAGATAAGGCAGCAAACGGTTCACAGCACATTCAGTTCCTACGGTTTCACTATAAGACTACAGGACGCAATCAGCTTGACCAGTGCAGGTGATACAAAAGTTATCAACAGCCTCGGTCTAATTCGATAAAGATAGCAGTAGTAACTGGATCTCATTGCTGTACATGTGCTTTAACCGCTATATATGGACTGAAGGACAACCTAAAGACAGCGATAACCAACAATATATGTGTACGTCCACTTTCGACTGAAACCGATTGGTTGGCAAACACCGCACCGAACTGACTAAGTTCTTAACATTTCAGTCTGAATGCACCTGGTATAAGGTACAACAAAATGCGTTAATCAGAACTGTGAAGGAATCGACGATGGGATGGTACAACGACTGAAGTAACAAATATTTCGATCGCATAAGGTAAATTTACGAGATCCGAAAAACAGACGAAAAAGAGGTGTCAGGGTGGCTAATCCAGTTGATAAAGATACTGTTATTTTCCAAGGAATTCATACAAAACTCGGGTTAATTCACTACCGTGAGGTGCTGCATAGTGAGGCAGTTGTTTTAAGTAACATCGGAATACCAATAAGCAAATAAATTGAAATGAATTAAAATAAGTTAAACTCGCAATAACACTGCTGAATTTTCAACAACATAATGTTACTAAGGCAGTTGGGAATCAAGGAAAGCGCACCTCAATTCCAAATCCTCTTCACCATAGGCGTCCAGATAGACCGAGCCCCAGTCGCAAACGTTCGGCCCCAAGGACACGTATACAATTGAGCTGTTAACTTCGAGCATGACTCCGGCAAAGCCCTCACAAGTGAATGCATGCTAGAATGTGTCAGAGAATTAAAAACAAACGGTACGATATCAGAAACGGACCAAGGGGTAACGAATTTGAGCAATCACATCCGACAGACGAAGAAGCTTCTACCCGGCGGACACGATGAGTTTATACCAGGCGGAGGCTGTATTGACCATATTTTCATTCTCATACGAATACAGAACCATAAGCACTCATTCAACAGTATTAATATTCCTGTGTACATTGTTCCTAAAGCAGTCAGCCCATTGTAGCATCATTCAGATTTCATTTACACAATCTCAAGCTTATCTATCCGGTCTTACTCGCGGGGAGTACACGACTCGAGTTCTGCTTGTATTAGAACTGACCAGGGCTGTACATCCAAC